GTATTCCGTTACTCCCCAACACTGAATGTGACCAATCGCTTCTTCAAGGCAACCTTCATATGCAATTCTGGACTGCTTATAGTGTTGCTGCTATTTTCCGAATGCTTTCTGGGGTCAGGGTTTAAAAAGCTCTAATTTAACAATCCCATCCTGAAGCAGGCATGTGGTCTGAATACAGTTAAAGCCACGTGAGGGTAGGTTTGAGGCGCAGCCTGCAAGAGTACCACTTCTACTAATGTTAATGTACACCAGTACATTAGGAGCGTGAGCGAGATAAAAGACAAAAACAACGTTACCAAACATGGCACCCCAATTCACGCAGCTCAAGGCTCACATGTCTCAAAAGAGGGCACTGTAGAAAAGACGGAATATGGGAATGTGGAGGCATTTTGGATGTTTAATGTCCAGCGTTGAAAAAGACTATCATACACAGCAAACTGTGTCACTCCACAAATTGTTCTTACCATCTGAACCAGTGCCATCCTCTAGCGCTCGTGCAATGCAGGACTTGACAGTGCCAGACACTCTCTCCCATGCCTCGCCTTACCATGAAAGCAACAGCTCAACTTATTGCACAAGTCACGATGCCAGCAAGCAACAATCAAATCAAACAAATCAATTTAAGCGGGTGATTAAAGTAAATGACCCTCGTTACCAACTCCCTGGGTATTTTGTGATCAGGTATATTCTACCATACCTACTGTAATCTTAAATGATGCCTCAAATCCTTTCTAAATCTGACTACATGCTTTGTCTCCTCCGCCTTCCTAGGTGACAGTTATTAACCCTCTCACTGTAGCTCTCTGTGCCTGAGCTGACTCTTACCAGGCCATGTCAGGCTTCACACTAACTTCCCCGAGGCTGCTGCCATGACTAATTTCGGACCTTCTGAGGCATAATGATACCTTTATCTTGCTTGGCACACTGCCGACATTTTAAAATTCATAAACATGCATATATACAAGTATATCAGCGTTCGTACAGGAGTGCAAGGCAAGCTCACACTATCGCCAACACACAGACAGACACATGTGCGAAAAGCTCGCACCTAATCTGTTCCTTCCCCCCCATCTTTCCATTTCAGGGCTGTCAAGCAAAGTGTCACAGGGGTGAGCTTTAGTGCCACCCCTCCCAGTAGTCCTCTACCATTGACTATTTCCAGAGCCACTCGAGTGGAAAAAAGCACAAAATGCAAGGAGGAAAAAAAAAGAAAGCGAGAACAGGCGATGTTGATGGCCTCAAAAACTCCTCCAAAACTCCAAAACACAAGCAGGGAGTGTCTTCTCGCATGACATGCACTCTGAATTGTCACGAGTGTGTTATCAGACTCCTTGGAGATGCTCTGTGTGTGTGCGGGCTACAGTTCTCTGTAAGTTGGCTGCAACTACCTGGCAGATGTAACCTGAGGCTTTCACACAAACAAATACACACAGAGAAAGACAGAAGAGTTGGCTGCATTTTCATCATCTCTCTGCTGTGGAATCAGAGCCCTGAGTCACAGAAAGGCCCTGCTGCCAGGACAGTAGATTTTTTTTTCTCGCACAGAAGGCAGAAACAATGCAATACACTGAGCAGACGGTTGGGGAGGCCACTGAGAGCAGTGAGGGGGCGTGCAGTCTGTCCTACATACACACCAGCACATGCAGATACACACAGATACACAGCAGGAGTGTACAAGGAGAGTTTAGAGAGGGCAAAGAAGTACCGTGGGTTGTAGATCCTTGTATTGCATACTGTGTCCCTGTAATGGACAGATAACTCTACTAAACAGACAGATACGATAGCAGTTAACCAGATTAGGCGTACAGGCTGACAAGACTTAGAGTTTCGTCTTAACTGCATGGATGATTTCTTTTCATACACCCAATTGCATGTTTCTCTGTCACGATGTCCTTTTCTCATCCAAATCAAAGGTTTAATAAGTCAGTAAAACAAACATTCAAAAGTTTGGATAACTCGCTGACACATAATGAGAGGATTAGGATCGTAAAGTCCAGCTTTTGAGCCCAATCAAAGAAAAGTTTAATGAGCTCTGCAAATTTCTATTAGAAATAAATATCTCAGAGACTTATCAAATCTCAATCAAAATCATTTCAAATGGCTGAGAGGGTGAAAGCGAGCTTTGGAGATCTCAGATGTGATTTCTGTTGTACTTATCATCCTTTCAAGCCCCTCTTGAATGAGCCATTGGGGTAATTACGAGCAGATGAAATGAAAGTAAGTGGGCTGGTGGTGAAGGTCTGCCAAGCATTCACATCGTGAGCGCGGCTACAGAATTAGAGGGAAATGGACACACCGACAAAGAAAATGTCAGCACGACCGAGAAGAGCTAACGAGAAATGTAAAGAGATGTGGTTTTTTTAATCTCCTTGAAGATAGCTGCGGAGGTCTACTGCTCACAACACGCAATAGTTCACAAATCGGCCACATCTAAATGACTATAGCTATTATCCATATCATATTATCCTTAGTTGGCACAGCTAGCCATTATCAGCTACTGCTAAGAAACAAAAGATATAAAACTCAGATAAAACTTCTGGGTCAGAAAAGTGAGGCAAGAGTGGTCTGTGTATCAGAGAACCTAAATCTTGTGATTTAATTGTTTATAATTAATCTAATAACTGCACACTGTAGGATCATACACGTAAGAGAAAATTTGTAGAAACTTTAGCTTCTGGGAAGATTTCCGAGACACTGGTTTAATAGCTTTGTGTGCAGATGGTTATCAGAAACTTCTGTATTACATGCACTCTAGGTCAGACGATGGGGACTGCCCACAGTTTAATGAGGACTCACCCCAGACCGCAGTTTGAAGCAGAAGGAGGGCCAGCAGGAGCTGCGGTCCACAAACAGGCAGTAAGCCCTGCATCCTGCTGCACCTGGAGACAGAGATGAAGAGAGAGGGAGGGAATATAAGTACACAAAGGAAACTGTAATCAACACATTGCCCTTGTGAAGTTCTTCTAATACACAAGACATGCTTGGATGAGTCATCATTAATAATTCCTTTTCAAGGGTTTTTTCCCCCCCCTGTTGCTCAGTGAAGGCCTTAGGACACACATACAGTAGTTCATTCTTCAGTTTAATTTGCTGTTTCGTAATGTGGGTGGGATAAAGTCTTCTGAAGCCTTTTCAGACAATGGTGATTAAAGGCTTTTAAAGGCTATGTAATAAATACCTCGACTTGATGTGACCATTGTGCTTAATCCTTTTGAAGTACAATAAAGAAATAGGCGATTATCTTTACACTTCACAAATAGCTATTGCTCAGAATTAAATGTACAGGCTGAG